ATTGCATTCGAGTCAATGAGTCAATACAATCAACTGGTTTTCCTCAGATAGAAAACTTTGAATCGATTTGACTGTATTATCTGGTGAACTGTAAAGTGCCTTGAGATGACATGTATTGTGAATTGGCGCCATACAAATAAAATGAATTGAAATTGAGAAGTGGTCTAGCCGCTACTCCGATACGCCAGTTCCTAATGAACACATTTGAGTAATCCCACTGTCTGTCTTGCCTTAAATACTGGGTCCTCTGTTCTGAGCCGTGACACATTTAAGTGGAAGATTATAAAGAAAAAACTTTTATTGATTCTAAAAGCAAGAACTGAAGGGAAAGACCGGAACTTTCTCTAATCTACGGAGATTCTGAACTATGCATACAGATGCGAACATAATAATAATTGAACTATATTGATCTCACAATGGAGAAACTTTCTTCTGCATTTAACCCATCCCTTTTTGGAGCAGTGGGCTGAAATTGTGTGGCGCCCGGGGAGCAGTGTGGAGTTAAGGGTCTTGCTCAGAGAGCCAGAGCGGCAGCCTGTGGGTGCAGGGCTCGAACTCAGAACCTCAGGATTCAAAGCTCTATGCCCTAACCACTAGACCGCAACTCCCCACTTTTTTTTGTTTTTTTTTTAAATTGAACAAATTTTATAATTGCACATGTGCCCAGAACCGACACACCACTGCTCTTGAATGGAGTGGAGGAGCAGATTCCATTTGGTTTGTTCCCAGAAATAGACCAGTATAGTCCTTGTATTTTCAAGAGGTTTAATTTCAGGGCCTAACGTTAGCCTGCTTTAACCTTTCTAACCAGCTCAGGATGAGTGTTTTGGATCATTTGTCTAGATTTCAACCAGTAAGTTTTTGATTTGAAGTGAAGCTAAAGAATTTGGATGTATTCCTCCTTTATTATCTCCTCCACTTTGTGCAGTTCACCAGCCCCACACCCTAATGCTACCACCACCGTGTTCAAGAGTTGGCACAGTGCTCTTAATGTAGAAGGCCTCACTTTGACTCCTCTGGACATATTGTTGGCCGTTGCGATTGTATTACCAATATAGTGTTCCAACATTTAGTAGAGCTTGATGTTTCAAATTCCTTCTAGAGGCTTCGGCTTTTACTTTGCACAATATCAGACTCTTTTTATATAAAACTGTCTTCACTGTGAGCAGTGACTTTAGTGTTGCAGTTTCCTATCCTCAGCATGCTTTGGTCATCCCTGAACATCCCAATTATTTCCTTTCAACTTAAAGAAGTGTTTTTTAGTCTTCATATGGAATCTTGCAAAGCCTCAATACATCTGATTAACTTGTGTTCACATAAAGAAGTTTGAATTGAGGATTTTAGAATCTGTTGTCATTCAGAAATTACTCTAAAGGCCTCTACTGGCTTATGTATGAATAGAGTGAATGTTGTTCCATTATTGGTGCATGCAAAGCATTGTTGCATGCCTTTTGTACTTAGAAATTAGGGGGAAAAAACCAAAACACATTTGTAAAAAAGAAAATGCAATCCAGAAATTGAGCTCTAAAAAGGGGGTTTTAAGGGTAACATTTGTCTGAGTTTTTCTTCTTATATTTATTTTTCAATTTCCATATTTTGAAATTTTACAATTTGCATTTTTACAAAATGCAATTCTTCTTAGATTTAGTTTTATTGCATCCTCTTCAAATTGCATTTCTAAAATAACATTCTCTTCACTTCAAAACCAATACAAAAGCTCGCTTTCGACGCACACAGTGACCAATACAATGGTGTTGCTAAAATTCATGCAGAGCAATAAAAAAGCGTCACTCCAGAGGAATACCCGCTCCCAGAAGTGAAGAAATGGTCGTATGTGAAACACAGTTTGAAAGGAATGCAACGTAAATCTCAATCTGAAGAACAGGAGTTAAAAGGAATATTTGGAAAAAATCTTAAATTTGTAAAAAAAAAAAAAAAAAAGAATATTGTAATTTGAAAAAGAGCATATGCAAAAATAAATTTGAAGAAAAAAAAACAACAAAAAAGGAAAAATCTGAGAAAACAGCAAATTGCTCTCAACAACTAGATTTGGATTTAAATGTTTTATTTATTTATTTTTTAATGATTATTATTATTTCTTGTTCTTTGTTTGCAACAATAATGGACCAAAATTCATTCCATAAATGATTGTGACCATCATGTCTGAGGTGTGGATGTAAAACTTAACCATTAATTCAAAGCTAAATATAATTCTAGTTATTTGGGGTGGACTTTTTATTAATGACTTATACAGCATGGTTACCTGATGGTGGAGTTGATGTCAGAAGCAGCTGAGGAAACTGTGCTCATCCCTGCCTCGCTCCTAAACGAACTCTGTTTGGATCTCTGTGACGCCAGAGAACTTCTGGACTCAGACTTCCTCAGCTTGAGCCCAGACAGGATGGACCTCCGAAACAGGCCTCCTTTCCTCTTCCCCTTCAGCAGCTCAGCCTCGCTGTGCGCCGTCAGCACGAAGCCTCCGCGGGACACTGCGGGGCTGCTGCCGCTGCTGCCCGTGCTGCACATGGAGACGCTGGTGGTCAGAGTTCCCGGAACCGGGGGCTGACCTGGAACCAGCGCGCCGCTTCTGTCCAACAAAGCGGTCCCATTGCTGTGCTCTGAACCGGAGCGGAGAGAGTTTATGGAGGTGCGTAAAGGTGAGCGGATGACGGCCGCCATCCCGTATGGGACACTCTGCCGGACTCCGTAGCCATGACGCATCCCGCCGACCCACTGGCCCTGGAAAGTTCCTGGGGGGGAAACAGACACGGATCAGATCTGAGATACGACCTGAATATAAAACACTGTAATCTAACCTTATGAAAAAGCTGCAATAAAAGGAAAGCTAGCCAATTTTACCAAAAAAGGATTGCTTTGTTACAGGTCTGTTTTAAATATATCACTCAGCATGGACAGTTCTAGACAGGGGCCAACAAGGGTCAGAGCCCCTGTTGAACCGGTCTTGTCCCCTGTTAATACAGAATTCTAATAACGGAATGCATGTGAACAGACAAAGTGACTAATAGCTTACTAAACTAAGTCATATTGAAATAGGATGACAGTTTTTCATCTGCTCAAAGTTATTTTGAACCAAAGAATTAATACAAATACTGAATTTATCAGCTTGACTTCTAATTCTGATTTGATTAAAAGTTAAAATAAGTAAAAAAAAATATGTATCCTGATGAAGATTCTCAGTCATCCAGGTCATAGTCATTCCAAAAAAAGCAAAAAAAAAAAAAAAAAACAATCCGCTGGACTTAGTTTTCAATTTTGAAGATGTTTCTCTTCCCACCCAGGAAGCTTTTTTCACATTTTCAATTTAAAAATCTTCCAGGATGGAAAATGAAGCAGCTTCAAACTCGAAAACAAACTTTTTTGGAATTAAAAATATGTAACATTCCTGCTTTATAAATGTACAATGACATAATGTCACAAGAACAGGGTTATTTTATCTTTCAGTGGATATTTATTTGTCTTAGGTGAATACAATTTTAAAAAATTATCCAAAAACTACAAATTTAAAGGCAAAGCAACATTAAATTATACTAAATGAGGAGGAAATTTCCCTTTATTTAAAACCGAACCATAAGTAGTTTTTTTTTGCTGCTACTCTTAATACATTTTAAATGATAAACTTTTGCTGTTTTTGTTGTTTCATGCTTTCGTGTCCACCTAATGAAAACACCTTGGACTCCTTGTAAATTTAACCTAGTACCACCAGTATTGGCCAGCTGATATTTATGGGTGATTTTAGTGTTTGTTTCTTGTATCAGCCAATAAGTGCATGTGTTTGCTGATTAATCAGTGCATTCAGCAGCTATGCTTCAAGTTCACATAAAGCGCATAAATTGCCACTCTCTCCCTTTGCTATCCATTGTTAATGTGTTTTTTTTATATATATATATAAATTTGTTAATAAATGTCTATTTTTACTTCAATTGAGACTTGTGTAACATTTCTTACCAATGTGCTATTTTAATGATGTAAATGGAAGAACAGAAAGATATATAATACTAAAGATCAGCCCAAAAAAGATTTGACAGCTGCTATCTTCTTATCTTATCTTATCTTATCTTATCTTATCTTATCTTATCTTATCTTATCTTATCTTATCTTATCTTATCTTATCGTATCTTATCTTATCTTATCTTATCATATCTTACACTGATGTCAAATAAACAACATTGGCCTTTTAAAAAAGATAAGTGTTTGGTTGCAGGACGTTGATCATTTGTCATACTTTTCTGCAGAAAATCTTGAACATCTTTTTTATTTCTTTTTTATTTTTGTTCATTAAGCATCTTTTAAGGTCATTTGGGCCAGTTTGTGTTCATTAGCGAGTTCAATGTCTGCTGTTGGGGTTTACAGATTCAGGCTGTTTGTTGTCAACATCCAGTCACACATTCAGGAAAGGTGCCAGCAGGAGTTGGCACCATTCAGTGACAAATCCTGGGTTATCAACCATGGTGTTACTGCACTGGACTTGGCATCAAGCTATAGCCTGACCTGACCCAATGAAGAATCTATGGGCTACTGTTAAACAAAGACGAGAGATACCCGAAGCAACACGAAGATGAGCTGAAGGCAGCTGGGCTTCATGAAAACCTCTGTAGACTCACAGGCCGATCACCTTCATGCTTCGCTGCAGTGATTCATGCAAAAAGAGCCCCAAGTATTGAAAGCTTAGATATTACTTTCTTTAAAGAATCACTTTTAAACCGATTATTAATAAAGTTAATTTTTTGGAAACACTGGATTTAGGCTTTTCATTATATGTAAGTGGCCTGAAATTTTGCTCTCTCTATGTAATATATAATTCTATGACTTTTGGAGCTGCACTTGAATTTACTCCAAACTTAATAGGACAATAAGCCATTTCTTTCTCACTGACAAAATTATCAAAACCATTTTATTTAAAGTCTTTAAATTAAAACGTTTATCCACTAAGAGTACCGTGCCTTTAAACTATTTGGAAAAATAAATATGAAGATGTCTTGGCTTGATTGGCTTCTGAGAGGTTAATTTACAACATTTGTGTGAAACAGAATTCCATTGGTTTAAGGCACCTAAAAACTCATCGCTTCATTTAGTGACATCATGGGAAAATCAGAAGAAAAGATCTAAGATATCAATAAGTGAGTGGCGGAAGTTAATAGATCAGTTGGACATGTTTTATAGATGCCTGCGAGTTCATTTTGTGACTTCATTCTTAAAATATTTCTTTTATAACAAAAATGCAAAATAATAAATGGGTTTTTTTAACCAAAATAAATTCTGTCAATGGTTTATTTTATATTACAATAAGTCAAGGCTCTATAACTTTAGGCTTACTACGGTATCATTTAAAGGCATCATGATACATGCACTCTATCATGTTTTTTTTTAAAGAAACATAATATCTGTTAAATATAAAACATAAACAGAGAGTCCTACAGTATAAAAGGGAAGGCAGTTTTTTTTACTCAGTTTTACAGGTTTATGTGTAAAGTTCAGACTTTATTACAGAAGACTGTGTTCCTGTTGTCATACCCCCTTCATTCACACCATCACGCAGCATTCCTTGCTGCATAACAATCCCTGCATCTCTATATTGCTGGAAAGTAGGCCATCTGAGTGAGTGTGTATATGTGTTTGTGGTTGTACTCTCTCTCACACACACTCTGCAGCGGAAGTGTGTGTTCCAATCGGAGAGCAAGTGATCCATCCCTCCTGCCAGACCTCTCTGATGTAACAGCACTCTGATTCATTCTGTAGCAAACGCGCTCACTCCAGCACGACTACATGACCATATAAGGACAGCAACCACGTTCTCCGTCTCCATCGCAAAACACGCACAAATGGTTCCCTTGTGGGCTCGAGTACCAGAGAAAATGGGAATGGGTGAATGGAGCGAACCTTCGAAGCCAATCTCACTTTGAGTTACGCTGTCATGCAGCAGGCATGAGACTTTTAAACGCATGAAGTGGTGTTAACTTTAAAGCTGGCCCAATCATTGGGAGGCTGCGCTTCCTCTCATCCCCAAACATGAACACACACACAGAGACAAACCCACACAAACACAGAACCTGTGTCAGAGACAGATGGGCAACACATCTGGTCAGGCCTTTGTAATCATGTCAGCAAACAGCTGTATGACCATATGAGAGACAGATCAGACACTGCACTCAAACACACACACAGACATACATGTGCAACAGCTTAATGAGATTTTATGAAATGGCTGCTTTAATGCTGAAGCTGAGCAAAGAGGCAAAGGGAACAACTAGGATAAAAGAAGAGTAGGGCAGGACAGTTGTAACTTGGGCATGTTGGTTTGTGTGTGTGGTTGGGGGGGGGGTCTATGTTGGGCCCTAGGATTGAAAAGCAAAGAAAAGATGCAGCAACACAAAACCTAAGACACAAAAAAAATAAACAATTCCATCATATGTTTCCTTTAAATTAATATCTGCCTATGTACTATATGTGTTCATAGAATTAGCACCAAAAGTGAAAGTTCATTGCCCTGACTGCTTTTTGCCCTTTTTATAAACTGAATTAGGCATATTCACATCCTAACAGGCAGATGCAGCATCCTGAATCAAACAGTTTGAAGTTTGTGTAAAGCATTATAAATTTAATTAAGTTCTCTTAAACAGTAATGTATTTTTTAAACGTACTTAGGTTGAAACATTGTCCCCTTTATTGGAATATCGTGGAGAAAGAGAAAATAATATAAAGCTATAACATAAAAAGGCAAGTTGCAGATTCACTTTTTCACATTAAATACACGGTTGTATTTGGTGCTAAATCCAGAAGTGTGATTTTGGAGAACAGGGGGAAAATAGCCCTAATGATAAATATTGGGTTCCTCCTGGTGTTTGCACAAGCATGGGTGTAAAGTAAGGCAAATATTCTAGTGTTTGCATGCAAGTAGCAGACATGCAAACATTATGATGGCAAGAAAGAATGCTTTCAGCAAAGGAGGTTAAAAAAAAACTGGCCTGAGTTTAGCATATGTCACAACAACTCGAAATGAGGGGACTACAGCGGTTTTATCAAAAGTTGATTATTATCCAAGCTGCACACGTCGTGCTCAGTTTATCACTTGCTACAGAGTTAGGAGGTTCAATCTGAGCGCCTTCAATCTGGAGCTTCAATTAGACCTGATTTAGACCTGGGTGAATATTAAAGCTGTATACTTTCTTAGCTTAGGCCTAAATACACTTTATTCATGGTGGTGCTGCATGACAATTGAAAGTAAAAGTGTAAAAGTAAAAGATAAATATTGTATATTGCCACTTAGCCAAAAAAATGTCTTATTATTTTTGCTCCATCCACCCAGCACTAGTCATTTTTTTTATCCACCATGATATCCACACACAAGCAGACATGCTGTCCCAAAGCTCTGAACTCTTAGAATATGCCTGCATGTTTTGCTGTTTGCTGCTGCACCTTTAATCTGATTAAATTTATCCCTGGTTTCAGCTGGTGCCTCTAAAATGCATCAAAGTGAAAAGGACTATTTCTGGGATCAGTGGGTTGTTTTCTATCAGACCAATATTTCTAAAGAATCTGCATTTAAAGGGACCGTCTGCAGGTGTCCTCTTTCCACTTCATGAATAAAAGCCCAGGACGGGAAATGCTCTTTTTCAAAGAAAAAATATTAACTTTGGAAAATGATTAGCAGCGGTGCTAAGGGGAGCAATTCTGCTCTGGTTGTCAGCTTTACGATGAATAATGTAGTTACTCTTTTTGTGACAATTAATAA